CCCCCCACCCCACACACACACACACAAACACACACATACACACTTCATCGTCAAACTGCTGCTTCCTGTTTCTGGTCATGTGTCGCACACATGCTGTCATGGGAAAACATGCATGCAGCAAGAAAGACTATTGCTCGGCTAGAAAAAGATGCTCTCAATCAGGAGAGGAAGTAAAAAGAAGTATTAAGTAAAAAAAACCTGCTTTTTAAAATCATGATCAGAGTAAAAGTTAAAGACAAACAATTACAATGGAAACACAGATGTGTGTGTGTGTGTGTGTGTGTGTGTGTGTGTGTGTGTGTGTAGGCCAACGTGTTCATAGACTGCACTCATCGACTGTACGTTTGATATTTCACACCAGTGTATTTAACCCTAAATATTCAAGTACCCAGCTTTTCCCCAACATGTGGTAATTTTCAATATTTTGTCGGGTAAGGAGATGGGTTCCCAGGGCACAGACATGCAAGAGGCCCCACCACCTCTCCGACATGAGAGCAAGACACACACACACCTTGGTAGTTTAGTTTAGTCTCATTTGGTGGTTTGTTTGAGTCTGTTTGTTGCCGTTAGGCATTTATCTGTATTTACATGTTGTTGTAATTTTGTCTCTTTGTTGTTGCTTTCTGTCTCTTTGTGGTTGTTGTAAGTTTATTTGAAGTTGCTCTGTGTCTCTTTGTAGTTGTTTTGAGTCTCTTTGTAGTTTTGTGTCTCTTTGTAGTTGTTTTGTGTCTCTTTGTAGTTGTTTTGAGTCTCTTTGTAGTTTTGAGTCTCTTTGTAGTTGTTTTGAGTCTCTTTGTAGTTTTGTGTCTCTTTGTAGTTGTTTTGAGTCTCTTTGTAGTTTTGTGTCTCTTTGTAGTTGTTTTGAGTCTCTTTGTAGTTGCTTTGTGTCTGTTTTTTAAAGTCAATTTGTAGTTGCTTTCTGTCTCCTTGTGGTTGTTGTAAGTTTCTTTGAAGTTGCTTTGTGTCTCATTGTGGTTGTTTTGAGTCTATGGTAAGTTGCTCTGTGTCTGTTTGTTGTCATATTATGTCTGTTGTAGTCATTTTGTCTCTCTTTGTAGTTGCTTTCTGTCTCCAAGTGGTTTATTTGCCCATAGTTCATAGTTGTTATGAGTTTCTTTTGTCTTTTTGAAGCTGTTCTTTGTCTCGTTGTAGTCTATTTGTGTCTCTTTGTGGTCATTTTGAGTTTCTTTGAGGGACATTTGGGAGGTGAAGGCCAGGAGGGGGCCCTGGCACTTTGGGCCCCTGGGCCTGTGCCCGGTAGGCCCGACCAGTAATCCATACATGATTATCAATCAGCGATGAACAGCTTTATTTTCATGACACAAAAAATCTGCATAAAAACAAACTGCTGAGTATTCTGTCAGGGTTAGCAACTTATTGAGACAGGCTGATCCACCACATACCCACTGGTGGAGAAACTGGATTATCGTCTTTACATGAAGACTTAAATTACAACAAAGCAGCACTGGCAAATCAAGTGAACTACGCAAAAGAAAATAATGTTTTAGTTGCATATTTTACACATAATTTCCACTTAGTTTGCTCTCAGACAGGTGAGTGAGAAGCAGAGAGGGTTCACATGGTAAAAGACAATCAGAGATGCGTTTTGATAGATCTATAGACGATCATCTGTAATCTAGAGAAGAGGATGTATTCAGATTTCTGTGTTTTTGTCCGGACCTGAGCTCCATGCACCATCATCCCTCTCTCTCTCCCCCTCTCTCTCTCTCTCTCTCTGAGCCACCCTCTGCAGGGTTCTTTTCTGCCAGCTAGCCTAGCGTGACTTCCTAGTCGCTCCCCTCCGTTCACAGCGCTGACTCGGCCCCCGGTGAGGCCCCGCTGAGCCACATGCTCCCTCAATGGGCTCACTCAATTAACAGGCCATGAAGCCCCCGACCTCCGCCGTCCCCCCCTTGAGTCACGCACCTCCACAATGGCTGGAGCTGGGAGGCATGCGTGTGTGGAAGTGGCTGGTTTGTTGGGGGGTGAGGGGAGGGGGCTGGTCAGTGCTCTTTTGTTCCGGTGGTGTCCAGCCTGCCCCCCTTTACCCCTGGTGTCTTTCATAAGGAGTGTGTAATAACTGCCTTTGTTGGTTTTTCCTCTTGTAATGGGTCCGGTGGGAGGCCTTGTTAGTGCGTGGGGTGCTCAGCCAGGGGACCTCGCAGGAACTCTGGGATTAGAGGCTGTGATCCCTCCCCGTCACAATGGTCACTCAGCCACTGGATGGAAACGATTTCTTTAGATCTTGCTAATTGCAAAAGCTTCAAAAAGAGTCTAAAATGTGGGGTTGCTTGGACAGAATGAGGCAGAATGAAAGGCCCCATGATATAATAACCTGAAGGACCTCAGGATGAGGTCTGAGGGAACAAGATTATTAGTGAGAGATTCTTAAAATTTCTGATAAGATGTGTGTTTAACGTATTATTGGTGTCAAAGTGACGATTTACTTGCAACACATTTGTGTGCTACGTTTGTTAACAATTATTTAATTTATTATATAAAAACTGTTAAGGCGGGGACGTTATGGCTCATGTTACGGCCTTGAAAGATTTTTAAATGGTGTGCTATTTTTGAACAGAAATGTAAATAAAACTTTGCAGTTTAAGGGGAAGATGGAAATAAAATATAAATCTAGGGGGGGAATGTAAAAGACCCTCTCCTGCATGAACCAAGAAATGCAGACTACCGTCCCATGAAGAAAAGAGAAACAAGTACAGAGAACTCCCCCTTTTTTATAATAATATCCGTACAGTCCAAGGCTAATTGGGTAAACGCATCAACACAAATTGTACTTAAATGTGAACACAAATACACAAATCATGCAAATACGATTTGCTGCAGAATGAACTCAAAACCTCAAATGAATGATCATTTTCTACACGTCTCTGCATATTATTTTTGTGCGTTCAACAAGTCGTGAGTTATATTTAAAGGTGAATATAATAATATATCCGCTGAGGTTGGACATGAGGGGGGGGGGTCCAGGCGTGGCAGGTCTCACTCTGCTTTCTCTGCTTTCACACGGATGATTTGTTTCACAGGCGAGTCGATTAAAGAGGAGAAACGTTTGAGGCCCCCCCCAACAAAAACTTAACTGTGGCCC